CGGTACTTACAATTTTTGATAATAATTTTCCATTTCATTCTCGAACAAACTTCAAGCTACTTGCTTCAACTGATTCAATCACCAGGCTCATAATAGTTGGTTTTGATTATTTTTATGTTTTTTTTAGAGAAATTTTACTTGTTGTTTATGATAGCCGATTCTAGGACACATGATCTAAAACAATGCTCTACATATCACATTATTAAATTGTCGCGTCTAATATATATGTTCTTTCTAAAAACACCTTTTGGATAACCTTCATGATACTAGTTAGGCGAGGTCACAAATATATGAAAGAGTGTTTGTTATGTGCTTATTATTAGTGTATTTTGTCCTTCGTTTTTAGGTACCTTCTTATTTGCTTTGGTGTCCTTTATATAGCCTACGTTTCAACCCTCTAGGCTATAATGAGTCTCCTCTTTGTCTCTCATACTTAAATGCTTGAGATAATGTTCGTTGTCACCATAATTTCCCCCAATCATGTTATATAATGGCTCCACCATCAATTCTGTAATATCTGTGCGAACCTGGGATTGCCTCTTAACCGCTACATTGGGCTACCACCTCGGTTATCCAGTGTCTAACAAGGGCCGAGCTATATATGTGTATCTCCAAAAACCTGAAGTCTGACCTCTATCAGGGACCGAGCTAAGTGTTCTACTCTGAGATCCTGCATGACTATGGCACACGGGAAATAACTTGAATCCTTGTTGGTTAAAGATATTCATGCACCTCCGGTTCACCATCTCGAATAACACTGAGAGAGATATCCCGGCTAAACTGAAATTTTTTGGATGTACATAAGCCCCCCGAACATAAAATCTGAAAGGATGAAGTGTTCGGACAAAGAATCCCATATTACACTCCGTCTTTGAGATTATGTCCTAGCTCGGACGTGATCCCTCCAGAGGTCGTCCATAGGCCTCGGCTTGATGACATATGATGGCGTGTTTGATAAACAATGATTGTGAATATCTTACAAGATTTCTTCTCTCTCTTTGCAATGATGACTTTTTATGGGAAAACTAATGGCATTATGACTCTGAACCGATACAACTTTACCTAGTCATTTCAAACTCTTGATTGGATAAAAATCCAATGATTCCTTCCCTATTCTTCATTCCTGAAAGTTTATCCTCTCTTCAAAGTTGCCCTTGAAGCTGTACGCTTTCACCAATTTTTCACAAATAACTTTTGGTATTCTTGTTATTATCTTACTTTCTTTTGACTTAAACTTTAGAATGATTATAATCCGTGAGTGTGGTGATCTGGGAAACATACTGATTCCTCAAAATGCCTATAAGAGAAGAGAAATTTGGGATTTATGCATGAGAGAGGGCAAATATCATTAGGGAAAAGTTGAATTAGATCAAATTATTAAGGAAGTTTATGGTGATATTTTTACATCTTTTAGAGAAACTGATTCAAAATCTTCATCGTCAGGTTATGTAGAAATGGTGATGGAGATGACTGGATCTTCTGTTGACCCAGAGGTTTTAAACTATGATCAAAGTTTAGTCGACGCCAAGTATATTTCCAAACTCTGATAAAAAAGAAGATATTTTCTATGGGAAATGATAAAGATGTTATATTGTAACCTTGTATTCAAGGTGAACATGTTTTCATAACTCGACCACGGGGAGTACCAGATGAATACTTCCATTTTTACTCTAGGGTGATTGAGGATTTCCAAATTCGTATCCCCTTTACTGATTTCAGCTTTGACCTTCTCAAAACTCTAAACATTGCACCATCTCAACTTCGCCATAATAGTCGGGGTTTTATAAATGCTTTTGAAATAGTGCGTGAGGCTATGAACATAGCCCTCACCTTAAGTTTGTTCTTTTCCTTTTTTGAGGCAAACGGAGTTGATAAGGGAGGGTGGATCTCCCTTGACAGTCTCCAAGTTTATACAACTAATTATAAAAGGTTCAAGGATAAGTTTCAACATGTTAGAGGTGGGAATAGATGTCCCCAAGTGATGTATGTGTTTAATGGGAACCATCACTTTCCTATTTACTGAACGGATAGCTCGGTACATGTGTTCGGTTTTGATTATGATAAATTAGATGTTGTGGAGGTCTAGGCCTTGGCCATATTAAATGGATTTCGGATGATAAGGGTTCGGGATTTACTAGGTCTGGCTGAAGATCCAAAACAAATCTCTGCCTTTATGGGTAATACTTATATGACTTAACACATTTTATTTATTACTTTATCTATCTATGCATACCGAACCTTTTTCTTATTTCCTTTTCATCCAAAATGACGAACCTAACATTGAAGGAACAAAAGAAATTAATTATTGAGGCGAGGACGAAACAAGGGGAACAATCCGAGGCTAAGACTGAATTGTCCAACATCCAAACCCAGGCTATAAATAAGAGAAAAGTAAACCCAGGGAAAGCAGCTCCAAGCATCTCTGATCCCCAAGACTCAATCCCTCTCTCTGGTGGCTCAAAATCGATCTCTCATAAGAAGATGAATACTTCAATGAGTGGCCCGATATGTGTTGGCGATTGGGAAGTCACTACTTTGATGCAGGAAGCCAGTGGCAATCAGAAACCTCACCCATCCAAAGAGTTAAATTTCTGGTCCAACAATTTTGATGGTCTGAAGTATCTCTATGACCACCTAAATGCTACTGAAGATGTTGAAAAGATGAAGATCATAGGAGCTCAAAAATTAACGCATAATATTAGGCCTTACTTGATGTGGTATGTCGTCATGATCTAAGGTATGTTAGATGTCGGTGATGCATATGAGCATAACGTAATAGGCCTTAACAAGGAAATAAATCAGCTAAAGAAAAACGTGAAGGTCCACACCAACAAGATAGAGGAACTAGACAAGCAATTGTTGGAGGTGGAAAAATAGAAAGAGACCTCAAAATAAAATGTTAGGATCTCGAAGCGACCATCGCCGGCTTTACCAAAGATGTGGAGTCAACCCGGGAGTTTAATGAAAAAATGCAAAAGTCTTTACATGAGGCTCGTGTGGATATCCTTTCAGCAGGCGATCAAGCCTTCGAAAGGACCAAAGCTCAGGCTCTATGCCTTCAGGCCAGACTTAATATGTTCGAGATGGATTTCATCAAGACGGTGGTGGATGGTCGTCTTGTAGACATGGAGGAGAAAGAGTCTTCTCCTGATGCCGAGGCTTCCGAGGACGACACGAATGGTGAAAGGACTCCTGATGTTCATGAATAAGAGAAGAATGAAGATTGATCATGTGTTGTTTTATGCTTTCATTATTAGTCATCCATGGGGATGCATTTTTTAATATTTTGGATAAACTCCTTTTCCTTCGCATATAATATTTAAGCTCGGTTGAGGCCTTTTGACCATATTATTCATGTCCAATAACAATGTCGTAGCCTTGATGTGTTTAATTTCTTTAATCAATGGTTTATTTGCTTGGTTTTGAATAAAAAATTTATGTCCATCCCCATGCAAATCTCAGTTTTGCTAAGGCTTATATCGTAGCAATTTGCACGCCATGGTGGACTATGCTTTAGTTCCAGGGGATCTTGAAGGATATCGGCTTATAAAATTCAACCCGTTCTAGTTTGGCTAAGTTAGACCCTGACGTATGGTCGAGAATAATTAAACCTCTTAGGGTCAGAGGCATTCTGGTCGGGATGTCTGTGTTGTAATAGCCCTTAACCGGTCAAGGGTTAACCTACTTAGGCTAGAGGAATATTGATTTAGCACAGGTTCCATAGGGATATTAACACGACTTATTTTAATGGTCAGAGGTATATTAACATGACCAGACCAGATGTATGTCAACATAGCCATTTTAATGGTCACGTGTATAATAACTTGATCGGGCTAGAGGTATGTTAACATAGCCGAGATGTCGGAGGTATATTAACATGGTTATTTTAATGGTCAGAGGTATATTAACTTGAGCGAGGCAGATGTATGTTAACATATCCGAGAGCCAGAGGTATATTAACATGGCTATTTTAATGGTTAGAGGTATATTAACTTGATCGGGCTTCCAGAGGTTCCTTGAGGACCTCGACATGATGAGGCCTAAAATATCGAGCATATTCCTGACATATGTGTTGAGACTAGCTTATTTTGTTCGCTTGTTCCTTTCTGTAAAACACATGAAAAAATTGTCACAAATTAATATGAACTATGGGTGTTATTATATCTCAAAATTTACCCCCAAAAATCCAAGAAAATTTGTGCATCAAATCAGAACCGTAAATGTCAAAAAAACGGTTAACTAATTAACTTGCTAACAGTGGCAAAACTAATTGAAAGTAGTTCACATAAACTAACTACTAATAAAATAACCTTATAACCGTTCAAACTAATTAACATTAACTAACTTCATTATTCATAATACTAACACTAAATCCCTAAGCAGACCCTAACAGAATTGCAACTCCTATAATTCTCACTTTCTCAGCTCAATCTTCATCATTCAAATTCCCTAACCAACTCTTCGATCCAACAACTAAGCTTCACTCTCCTCTAACAACTATCATCTCCAACTCCCTATATAAACACTACTACTCCTTCGACCTCGGGCCTCACTTATCTGCAACTTCAACCTTCACCTCATGGCAACTCTTATCATCTCCTTCAATAACTCACACAACGCTTAACTCTCTGAATCCTCACTCGCTCTCAACACAAAAACATAGAAGCAGGACAAAACAATTCAGAAGTTTAGAAGAAATATGAGAGGATAAGAAGAAGAAGAATTTAGAGAAGCAAAAAATGAAATACCAACTTGAGCACTGAAGCTTCCCACTCACACTTTCTGCAAATCATCATCGACCTTGAAGAGCTCTCAGAGCTTCTCCGAGAAGTAAGTATCCAAACCTTTCGTTTCTCCATCTTTTCCGCATGCCATGTGGTTGTACTTACAACATAGGCCCTCAATCCTCATCTAATCGTTGGTTTTCACGTGAATCAGAGTTTTTAATTTGTGATTTCTCAGATTTAGGGTATTATGTTTGAGCATAGATCTAGGTTTGTTTATTGAGAGTATGTGAAAACTAGGTTGGAATTTGAACAGAGGAAGAGTGGACGAAGCTGGTGGTGCATTTGGTTTTGATTACTGACCGGCTCCGTCGCTGGAGCGATTTTCGGCGCGGCCGACCCACCATGGCTTTTTGAGAGAACACATAGAGAGAGATGATTATAGAGAGATAATTGAACTTTGAGAGAGTAGAGTGTTAGTGTTTGTTTTATTAATTTTTCATGGCGTTCCTGGTGGTGACAAGTGGCTCCGGTGACCACTTGTAACCCAATAATAGGATTGAGTATTAGTTTTAAATCCCATGCAGGTCTCTCTCTTCCCCTACCATGCATCCTCAAGCATCTACCTTCAGATCTGTTGAGCAGATCCGATCTCATGATTGATGGTCCAAATCCATTTCCCAAGTCATCATGGTTGACTGGGGTGCATGGTAAGCTCCAAACGCATGGGCCTCTAATGAATGGGTCTGGATCTAATTTCCAATTCATACCCCCATCTTTTGCTTCTTTTTGTCCATTTTCTTATTTTCTTTTTATTTTCTTATTTTTGTTTTATATTTGATTCATGTATTTTGATCTAACTTTTCTAATTTATTTTTATTAATTTATTTATTTTCCTCATTGATCATTTGATTTCTTTATAGTATAAATTTAGATTTAATTTTGATTAGTTTTTACTTTTATTGATTTTGGTTAATTGGATGTTATTTTGTTATCGTGTTCATTTTGAATCAGGTTTCCTTAGCATTGCGTGACGATTTTGAAGTTTAATTTAATATTATTCTTCAAATTGTTTAGGACACATAAAGTCCATTTCTCAACATCAAATAGGGTTGATTCGTTCATGAATCTCCTTATGATTTCTTAACATAGCGTAATATTCAATATCTTTAATTTTTGTTTCTTGGCTTGTAGCTTTATTGATAGCTTTGCGTTGAGATTTCAAAATTTAATTCGATATTATCTTTCGAATTGTTTAAACACATATAGTTCATTACTCGGCCTCAGGTAAGATTGTTTCCTACATGAATCGTCTTATGATTGCTTAACATAGCGCTAAATTCGGTGGCTTTCGATCTCTTGGTTTACTCTTGGGCCTGCTTACAATGAGTTTTAATCAATTAAATCTTGTTTTAGTTGATTGATTTTGTTAATTATAATTAATTAGTTTTGCTAACTAATTTTTGTTAGCCTAATTAATTGATTCAATCAAGTTTTAATTAATCGATTAAATGATTTTGTTCACTTGTTTACTTGTTAATGGGCTTGTAATTTAATCGCATTATTCCATCCCCATTCTATATAAGTGTATCCCACTCCCCATGAAATGTAATAATTTTATCGCTTTCCATTTATCTTATTTTATTGCTTTATTCATCTGTTAATCAAGATAAACGATAAAATCAATCATTTCATAAAAAGATCAAAAACAAACTTGATCCAACATCGGGTCTTTTATCCAATCAAATCCAAATCAATTGCAACGTCAAAAATCTCTTCCACTTCACTTAAATACTTTCATAATTAATTCTTTAACACTCGATCCAACATCGAGTTCTCTTTCAAAAACCATTTTCATAAGTGTTGTACCCCAAAATTTGTTCTCTCATGTTTTCCAAGATTTTCTCTTACATGGGTGGCCACAAACACTTGATTAAAGAAAAATAAATTTTTTTGAAGATAAAGGAGTCTTCGATTGGCATTGGGACAAGGTGCCTTCAATTGGCATTTGGAAATGAGTCTTCGATTGGCATTTTAACAAGGTCCTTTAAACAAGATATCTTTTGATTGACATCTGGATAAGGAGTTTCGATTGGGCATCTAAAAAACCTTCGATCAAGATTTGGTCCCCCAACTTCGATTGAGCGTTGGACCCTCTCCGATACAAGCTTGAATCACTAGTCTTTGATTGGCCATTTGGAACTCTTTTATGCAATCTTGATTCACAAGCTTCGATTGGGCGTTGCCCCCTCCCCCCTCGATCAAAGAACGAGGAAAATAGGGACTCAATCGAAGGCCACAATGATGAGGCTTGGGGAAATTTGAGAGAAAGTAAGGAGGCTCCTACAAAGCCTTTGATTGATAGAGAGCTGAAGAAACCTTCGACCAGTTAGAAAGGGAGAGTTGATATTTTGATTGGTTTGAGTTGAAAGAAAGACATTCGAAGGAAGTAACAATAGGCCAATCGAAGAGCAATGCTGGAGGGCATTTGAAGGAGCCAAATGTGTCCAAGTTTATCCCAAGGCTCAAAGGTGCATGGATATTTCAAAAAAGGAAGTCTTTTAATGTGTCTGATTTTTGTCTCATGGCTTTCAAAGCCATGGTTAATGGTTTGTTTCTTGCCGTTACCATCACACTCCTATAAATAACAGGCCTAAGGCACATTGCAGAAGGCAGAGAAAACACACGAAAAAAGGCGAAAGAAAAAATCATACGAATATCAGAAACACTCTTGCCACACTCACTGGCCAAATATTACCTCACACGCACACGCTTCCTCATAAGCCACACCAAAATTATCAAAAAAACTCCTGAGTAATCCAAATCGAGGGAATCTTCAATAACATTCCACTCACTCCTTGAAGCTTGCAGGAGGCGTGCCCAAACACTTTCCAAGCCATTTCCATCGAAAGAAAAACATCTCATTGGTAACAAACCTTCGATCATAAGTTAATTTTGATTGTTGCATGACATATTAACATTTATAATTCAAGACTAAGGACCTGGGTTCGACACCCAGGTCTGCATTTGTTTTATTTCTAACACTTGTTGCAGATCCAGCCTGAACAGGCCAACGCACACAGGATCGAAAGACCTGGGTTTCGATACCCAGGTCCTGCATTTTTGTTTTACTAACATATCTTTGCAAATTCAGTGCTCTCGCAGGTGATCCATCAGGCCCTTCCAGCAACGCTCTCTAGATCGGAAGCCACATCCTGTCACTGGATCAAAGGGTAACACCCTTCACAGAATCGAAAGGCAACATCCCTCCTGGATCAAAAATCCCATCTTTCCCTAGATCAAAAGGCAGCTTCCCCTCTGGATCGTAAAAATCCCCCTTTTCTCTCTGGATCGAAGGATGCCCCCTTTGTATATTTATTTTTGTTTTCATTATTTCTCTTGTTAAACTAACCATTAAATCAAAATCATAAAAAACATTAGGCTAGTTTTTTATTAATCAAATTAAATTTTGTTAATTAACTAATTAATTATTTTAACCTTTTCCTTAATTTAAAATTAAATAGACTTAAGTTTTATTTTCTTTTATAAATAAATAAAAAACAAAAATATTTCTTTTCCTTAGGATTTAGACGTCCCTTTTAATTCGTTCGCGCATTTATTTATTTTTCGCATTTTTCATATTGTTGTAACTGCTTCCCAGTTTGTAATAATAACTAGGACTTTACTTTTCGCATCTCTATAATGTACCTCTCACAAAGCCATGTAATAGCGTAGGATTTATATTCCCGCACTTTACATTTCTGCCCTTTAAATTATTGTATATACTACTGCTAGTAATTAGGATTTCATGATGAGACTGAAAATCAAAATGTTAGCAAACCTAACACAAAAGATAAAAAAAATAACTGAATATAACACACATTGCACATATACACCTCTAGGGTACCCCATTTTGGTTTCCTTCGGAAATAAAGTAGTCAAGTCCCACGAAACGGGGATGCTTTAGCAAAGACCCATAAATCAAAAAGATCATAGTCCCTCGATGACCCTACAGTTGCCTCTCGGTAAATGATCTAGTCCCTAAACAAAATTGCTAAAGCGTCTCCACAAGTTACCTTCGTGACTGTAACGTCCCTTTTATTGTCCCTCATACATCCAACGATATGGCTACATACTCACTAATCGTGTGATAGTACTGTCTAAAGGATAGGAGGAAAAGAACAAACTTTTTCGAGTATAAGTAGATAAGTTCTTAGATGCTTGCTCAAAACAACCTTTTTTGCACCTACACAAAAACACATTTCAAAAACAACTTTCAAAAACATTTGATTTTTCAACACTCTTAAGGACTGATACAAGAGTCATCACAAAGCAAATCGTCGCATTAAGACATTTCAAAATACTTTTCAAAAACACACAAAAGCACAAGGTATTTTAAAAAATGAACTAGCATCTAAGAACCCGTAGATAACTACGGATGGAAAGGATGCTAACACCTTCCATTTCTATAATCTACCCCCCTTACTCAAAATTCTTGAAAAGGTCTTTTTCTATTCTTTTCACCATTTCCTTAATTTGGATAAAAGAAAAGTCGATGGCGACTCTTGCTTACCGCAACATTTGTGAACACAAATGTAAAACTAGTATTAAACAGTCGGTTCTTCCACCGTATGACAAAAAGAAAAATAGGGTTGGCATTAGGGTTAGATTTAAATCCATTCCTTTTCTGAATATTCAAACATTATTGTAGGGTTCACTAATTGAATATTCGTCTTCCTGACAAAAACACATTAAACAAACGAATATTAATTCGTCCCACATTTTCAAAAACAAATCTTTTGATGAAGAAAGGTTTGAATTTAGATCCATCCCCTTATTAGGTGTTTTGGATACTGCCATCGGGCTCCCTATCTAAAAATACCTGTCTACACATAAAAATAACTCAACTCATCAAACTTGTTTTTTCGCCCTTGCGCGATCACAAAACCTTTTCAAAATGAATGTGCCTTAGCCATTTTGATACGAAGCGAATACAAGACTCAAATCTTCACGAGCTAGCCAACAATTCAAAGTTCAAACATTCTAAATGTCTAACGCATTATTCTTCTAAAAATAAACCAACAAATCCATGGTTTTTTACCCTAAACTACGGAGCTCTGATTTCCTTATTGCACTATGAGAATACATAGGCACAGGATTGCAAAAATCTTGGTGAGCCCAATAAACTAAAAAAAAGCCTTTCTTTTTTCATTTATTGATTAATAAGTGGAGGATCATAAAAAATCACATTAACACTCTAACACACACTAACTAAATGGTTCCCATTGAGTACGATAGATGTGAGGGGTTTTAATGCCTTCCCCTTGCATAACCACTCCCAAACCATATCTTGGTTGCAACGACCATTTCTTTTCTTTCGATGGTTTTATTCAATATTTTTGCGTTCCTTTGGAATAAATAAAGATTAGTGGAAACTTCATTGTTATATTTCGAGTGTGCGATACACTCGGGTATTTTTTGTGCCGCGACAATTGGGGACCCATCTCCTAAGCGAGTCCACCCTAGTTTAGTTCGTTTATGTTTGAGTATTTATGTTTCCTTTTATGCTTTCTTCATTTATTATTTATTTTCTATGTGATTTATTCTTATATATTCCACCTTTTATTTCTGTGTGATACTATTGGAACTTTATGGTTATGAGCACATGGTAAGACAACTCTCTACCTGAGCTAAGGGGAAAAAACATAAGTTAGGACGCGGTTGAGTAGTATTGACCTACGAGACCTTGGACTCGTTGGGTTGGTGTG